TGTGGTCACTCCAGGGATGTTTTAGGGACGGAGCTGTGGTCACTCTGGGATGTTTTAGGGCAGGGGCTGTGGTCACTCTGGGAATGTTGTAAGGAAGGAGCCGTGGTCACTCCAGGATGTCCTATAGGGAAGGCGCTGTGGTCACTCCAGGGATGTTTTAGGGAAGGAGCTGTGGTCACTCTGGGGATGTTTTAGAGCAGGGGCCGTGGTCACTCTGGGGATGTTGTAAGGATGGAGCTGTGGTCACTCCAGGGATGTTGTAGGGCAGGAGCCATGGTCACTCTGGGGCTGTCCTATAGCACAGGCGCTGTGGTCACTCAAGGATGTTTTAGGGCAGGGGCTGTGGTCACTCTGTGGATGTTTTAGGGCAGGAGCCGTGGTCACTCCAGGATGTCCTATAGCACAGGCGCTGTGGTCACTCAAGGATGTTTTAGGGCAGGGGCTGTGGTCACTCTGTGGATGTTTTAGGGAAGGAGCCGTGGTCGTTCTGGGGATGTTTTAGGGAAGGCGCTGTGGTCACTCTGTGGATGTTTTAGGGAAGGAGCCGTGGTCGTTCTGGGGATGTTTTAGGGAAGGCGCTGTGGTCACTCTGTGGATGTTTTAGGGAAGGAGCCGTGGTCGTTCTGGGGATGTTTTAGGGAAGGCGCTGTGGTCACTCTGTGGATGTTGTAGGGCAGGAGCCATGGTCACTCAGGGATGTTTTAGGGCAGGAACCGTGGTCCCTGCAGGGCTGTCCCGTGGCTCTCAGCAGCCGCCAAGGAGCAGCCACCAGCTGTGCCAGGGCCAGGCCTGGCCACCAAATTCGGGTGCTGCCCTGCCCTTGTCCCTCTGTTATCTGTCCCCATCACTCGGGTCCCCTCCGGCCCCCCGAGCCCCAAAAGCGGATCCTGATTGCCCAGCTGGAAGGTCCTAATTGCGCTTCCCTCCCCAAAGCCGCCTCCCTTTATCATAAAGGGTGCACATTTCCCCCGCTCAGCTTCCGCGGCCACAGGCCCCGAGGGCCAGCTCAGAAATGGAGGGAATTAATTACATTTTTTTAACTCCCCTCCTTTTATAGCAGGGGAGAGAGCGATGAAACGTCCCGGGGGAGCGGGGGGAGCTGCCGAGGAGGGTGGGGAGGGAGGCAGCAGCAGCAGGAGGTGAGGGGGGAGCTGCTGCTTTCATCCAGGAGGGTCTTTGTGCATCAACCCCACACCTCAGGACCTCTCCCTGCTCGTCCCCGCCGCAAAGGTGACCTCGGGAATGGCAGGGGACGAGGCCCAAGGCTGCTGGCATTGGCTCAGCCCCGAGTGCGAGCCCGTGGTTCGGGCCAGGGGAAGGGAGAGGATGGGGATGGGAGGGAGGGAAGGAAAGGGACGGTCCCGCTGTCAGTCCCGCTGACGGACAGCGAGCAGATCCTCCTGCAGATAAACCCCGGCAGATGTGGAGCGGGCATTGATTTTTAGTCAGGGATGATAATGCACCAAGAAGTCATAAATTAGAAGGCAGCAAGGTCAGAGAGGGACGGGAGAAGGACTTTGCATTCTTGAGGAGGGGATGCAGAGTTCAAAAGTGGCCTGGAGAATGAGTTTCTGCAGCTGCAGGGAGCAGCCCGGGAGGGCTCTGCAGGGTTTGCCGTGCGGGGTGGAAGGAGGGAACGGGAATCTCCGCTTCCCGCTTGATATTCCAAACCCTTCGTGTCCTGGGGTGGGGAAAGGTGGATCTGCCCTCGGCTGAACCTGTGCAGAGCTCAGGGAGCTCAGCCCCAAATCCCCCTCAGCCTGTCCGGGAAGGGGATTCTCGGCCCCAGATCCCCCTCAGCCCCTCTGGGAAGAGGAATCCCAGCCCCAAATCCCCCTCAGCCTGCCCAGGAAGGGGCTTATTGGCCCCAAATCCCCTCAGCCTGTCCGGGAGGGGCAGGGGTTTCCCATGGCCAGTGTTCTTGGACAGGACTGGAGAGTTTTGGGGCTCTGCTGAGCTGTGAGGGTCCCCTCGGTCACCCCAAATCCACGGGAACATCCAGCTGGGATGAATCCCCTGCCCCAGAGGCAGCCGTTCCCCACCCCGGCTGGGCTGGGAGGGAATCCCGACATCCTGGTGGATTCCCAGAGGGAAATCCAGCCCTTCCTGTCCCCTTCGGGCCGGGCCGAGCTGTCCCTGGCAGGGCAGTGTCCCTGCAGGGATCCTGGAGGGGGAGCAGGGACCGGGAGCTCTGCAGGGCTGGGAGGGAATCCCGGTGTCCTGATGTTCCCCGTGGAATTCCAGAGGGAAATCCAGCCCTTCCTGTCCCCTTCGGGCCGGGCCGAGCTGTCCCTCGCGGGCAGTGTCCCTGCAGGGACCCGGAGCTCCGCAGGCCGGGGCTGCTGGAGCCAAGGCCGGCCTGGAGCGGCTCCAGGGGCAGAGCTGAGCCCAGGAACCGCTCCTGATTCCCACCCATGAAAGCCAATCCCTGTTTTTAGCGGGATTTGTGGAAGCACCCGCCCCTCTCCCTGAATTTGGAGTGTGAATCTGGGTTTCATTTGCCAGCCTTGCTTTACATCCCCCTTTTTCTCCTAAAAGGAAGTGTTAATGTGGCTCTCCCCGCCTTGGGGAGCCGGCTCCTTGCTCGGGGTAATCAGAAGCAGCTGGGGCGCTGCGGGGCCGTGCCCGGGAGGAGCGGGAGCGGCACAAGCCCCGCTGCTCCCCGAGCGCTTCCCCTCTGAAATCCCCCTGCACCTGCGGGCTCGGAGCGCCGGCCCTGCCCGGGCGGCTCAGGGAGGGCGAGCAGAGAGGGCAGAGCTCCCAGGAATAGCCCACAACCCCCCGGCCGCGTTTTCCGCGCGGGTTTGTTGTTTTGAACAGCCGGTTCTGCTCGTGAATTGGCTCCAGCCGTGCCCGAGGGTCCTGGGTGTCCCCCCGGACACGGACCCGGCTCCCCCAGCCCGGGGGATGCTCCAGCCCGGAGCTCTCCCTGAGCCCAGGGGACCGGGGCTGAGCCAGCCAGGGTTTGTGGGCTTTGGGGGGAGCCCACAAATAACTCTGCTGTTGGAAAAGCCCCCAGGCTGCCCTTCCGTGATTTCCCCGCTCTGCAGAGCCCGGGGGGTCCGTGTTGCACCCCCAGGGCAGCTCAGCACCCCAGTCCTGGATTAACCCACTCTCCTGAGCGTTAAATGCACTTTCCTCTCTTCATCCCCGCTCCTTGGGCTGGGGACCCCACGGGGACATTTTCAGGGCTGAGCATTCCCATGGAAGCACCTCGGGGCTCAATCCCTGCCCAGAGGCTCTGGAGAGCCCATCCAGGCTCTGCTCAGCTCGGTGTGGGGGCGGCTGAGCCGGGTTTAACTGCTGGGGAGCAGCGGAGAAGTCTGAGCTCGGTGCAGGGTGGAAACCTGGAGGAGGAAGGGTCAGTGAGCCCGGGATGGGGGCAACGAGCCCAGGATGGGGGGCAACGAGCCCGGGATGGGGGGATGGAGCCCGGGATGGGGGGAATGAGTACAGGATGAGGGACAACGAGCCCAGGATGGGGGGGAACGAGCCATGCGTGGGGAGGAAGGAGCAGAGATGGGGGGAAAGATCCCGGGATGGGGGGAACGAGTCATGAATGTGGGGGAAGGAGCCAAGGCTAGTGGGAAAGGAGCCAGGGATGGAGGGAAAGGGCCAAGGATGGGGGGAACGAACCAAGGATGGAGGGCAATGAGCCAGGGATGGGAAGAACGAGCCCTTCCCTCTCTCAAACCTCACTCCCAGCCCCACACCCAGCCCAGCCCTGCGCTCGGGGTTAGATGGATTTTCCAGGATTTTACCCAACCCCCTCCACCCCCCGCTGCCGAGTTCCCCTCCCGGACAAATTCTCCTCCCGGAGCGGGGCCGGGAGGGGATTTTCCATGCAGGCAAAGCGTCTTTGCAGCTCTCCCGGGCCCTTCCGGGGGGAGGAGGAGATGCTTTAGAAAGCAGAGGCCAGCTCGTGGCTGGGCATTCACCCCGGAGCCCGCTGGGGCAGGGAGGAGGGGCCGGGAAGGTGTCGGGGTGAGCAGGAAGGGGAGCCTCGGCCCCACGAACCCCCCCGGTGTCCTTCCCGAGAATGCAGCCCCGGCACAAAAGCTCACCAGGCCGCTGCTGGCGGATAAAGGGCTCATTTTACCACTTGCCAGGCTCCAAATATTTCCAATTTGCCACTTTAATTGATGTCAATAAGGTTATGCTAAATTCGGAGATTTGGAGCCGCTCGGCATCTGAGCGCCGGCCGGGCCCCCCGAGGTGACCGTCCCCTGTCCCCGCTCCCCCCGCCCCAGCCCGCGAGCCCAGACACGACCGAGAGGCTTCGGGAGCCCCGGCCCTTCCCCTGCGAGCCCTTTCCACCCTTAACTCGGAATTACCCCGCGGAAATTCTGCTGATCCCTGGCGGGACCGGGGTCCCCTCACCCCCAGCTCAGCCCCGGGAACAAATCTGGCATTTCTGCTGGGGAAAAAAAAAAAAAGGTGAAAAAAAACACCAACAAAAACCCAATTAGTTCATCTGGTTCAGGTCTCAAAGCAGGAAGATTTTTTGTGTGCAAATTCAATTAGATTTTCCACCGGAGCACTGAAAGGAGCCGGACCAGGACCTGTTACCCTTTAACTTTTGGGGGCAAAGAGACCTGGGACGTTCCAGCCCCCGAAGCTGCATCAAAGGCAGCGAGGGTTTGATCTGCTTTGCTTGGGGACCTCGGCAAACCTGACTTCCCAAGGACGGCAAGATTTTTTCCTCACCGTCCCTTTGGGAAAATCGGGATTTTCCTCCTGGATTTCCGTGGCCCCTCTGCTCATCCCTGGCAGGGCAGCAAAAAATATCCCCAAATCGTGAGTGGGCTGAGTGGAATTGCTGCATCCTCCCTGTTCAGGGCTGCGAGGGGAGCCCCGGCGGGGTTTGGGGGAGCAGAGCTCGGCTCTCCCTCCCTGCCAGCCCCGTGTGGGCGCTGTCCATCCCAAAACGCCCTTTTGGGGCCGTTTCGGGGCCGTTTTGCCCCCGCCCGGCCCCTGACGGTGCCTCGGTGTCTCTGCAGGTGATGAGCATCCTGAGCAACCCCAGCGGGGTCCCGCCGCAGCCCCAGGCCGATTTCTCCATCTCTCCCCTCCACGGCGGCCTGGACAGCACCAACTCCATCTCGGCCAGCTGCAGCCAGCGCAGCGACTCCATCAAGTCCGTGGAGAGCCTCCCGACCTCGCAGTCCTACTGTCCCCCCACCTACAGCACCACCAGCTACAGCGTGGACCCCGTGGCCGGCTACCAGTACGGCCAGTACGGGCAGAGTAAGTGCCGGCAGGAATTCCCCCTTCCCGGGAGCGGCAGGAGCCGGGGGGGAGTGGGGGTTGCGTTTATGCACCCAAATTCTGCCCGTTGGGGGGGAGACCCGGGAGGTTTGTCCTGCTGGAAGTGAAATCGGCTCGTGGGTTGCTCCTCCCTTCGCAGGCGAATCAAAAGCGCCTAAAAATGGGATGTTTTAGGTGAAATTTGCTGTCAGGAAAAGGCAGCTCCAGCCCCTTCTCCTTGCTCAGAACCACCAGGGCTGGCTCACCCTGCTCAGCCGGGGAAAGCTGGGCTTTGTAAAGCTGAGCTCAGCGTGTCCCTGCCTGCCCTGCCCTCCCCAGGCCGCGGCTGGGAGCTTTTCCTGCAGAGCGCCTCTGTCACCAGGGCTGGAACCCCGAGCCTGCCCTGGCAGGGACAGCGTGGCCCAGGTGTTGTCCCTGCGGGGTGACAGGGACAGCCTGGCTGGAGGTGACAGGAACAGCCTGGTCAGGGGGCTGTGTCCCTTTCGGGTGACAGGGACAGCCCAGCAGGAGGTGACAGGGACACGCCACTCATGGAGTGCTGTTCTGGCTGGACGACAGGGACAGCCTGGCCAGTGGGAGCTGTCCCAGCTGGGTGCCAGGAACAGCCTGATCAGGGGTGACAGGGACAGCCTGGCAGAGAGTGACAGGAACAGCCTGGTCAGGGGGTGCTGTCCCGGCCAGGTGACAGGGACAGCCCGGCTGGAGGTAACAGGGACAATCTGGCAGGAGGTGACAAGGACAGCCCAGCCAGGTGACAGGCACAGCCCGGCCGGTGGCAGGCACAGGGACAGTCCGGCAGGAGGTGACAGCCCGGGCTGCTCTCACCTGCCGCGTGTCCCCGGCCGCGGGGCGCTCGCAGCGCCGCTGACCCGCGAGGGTTAAAGGTGCATCCTCTTCCTCGGGCGCGCTGCCGCTGCCCGCAGCGTGTCCTCGGTGACCTCTCCTCCCGCGGCCGCGGCTCCGGGCCCGCTCTGTCACAGCCCTTTAATGTCCTTAACGCGCGGCCTCAATGAGAACCGGCTGTGGCGGCAGACGGGATCAATAGCGGCCCCCCCGCCCCTCCTCTTTTTGTTTGTCGGGAGTTTGATCTGTGACCCCTCGACCTTCCCCTCGCTTCTGGATGCGGGGCTGGACACACGTGCTATTGATAAAAATCTTAAACAAATTCCGATACCATGTATTTCCAATAAAGATTCCCTTGGGCGAGGCGTTAGTCACACCCATGTGTGTAAAAAATAAAATAAGGGGGCGAGCTGCGTTCGGCAGAGAGGGGGAAGGAGAAAGGAGGGTTTGTCTGGCTCTGCTGCAGGAATTTTTGCTCGAGCTGCTCGCGCGGTTTGTGTCGTTTCCAGGGCCCCCCGTGCCCGTTCGTGTCACCCCGTTGGTGACGAGCTCCCCGCAGTTTGCCTCGGTAATTAGCGCTGCCGAGAGCGGCCCCTCACGCGCAGTTGACCTTGGAACAGCGACATTTTTTCCTGCCTTTCCCCGTGCCTGTTGTGCTTTGCAGATAATTCCGATTCCTCCTCCTTTTGGGTTCTTCTCTTCCCTTCAAGTTCTGTTTTAACGCCCGTCGGCGTGAGGTGACCCCACGGGGTCATTTATTCAGATCAGCGCTCCTTCCTTCTCTGATGCGGCACAAAAGCATCAAAAACTATTTTTAGGTGCATCGAAACTATTTTTAGGTGCTACAATTTATTGATTGTATAACACAAAGTATCATTTGGATTATATATAATGCCATGGTGTATATAATATTAGGTCATTAATGGGATATATAATATAATTTAATCAATAGAAATTATAGGAATGGGGGTTATGGGGTTGGGGCAGGCTCTGTGTGGCAGGAGACAAACCCAGGATTTGGGAATCAGAGAATCCCTCTCCTCCCACTTCTCCTTATTCCCAGTTTTACACAAACAAACCCAGCCTACTTTTTCTCTCACTTAAACAAACAAACAAACAAACAAACACCTTCCGTGAATTTCTGGGTTTATTTTGGCTTCTGCCCCGCTAAACCAACAAACCCCATCCCTGATTTCTGGTCTGGGATCCCCTGGTGCCTCTGGGCTCTTCCCAGCGGCCCAGCAAGGGATGTTTGGGGTTTTGGGAGGATGGGATTGCCACTGAATTCCCAGCCTGGCAGGAGGCTGGAGCCGGGGAAGGTCGGGCTCTGCTCGCGGGGAACGAGGGATGGACAAAAGGAAACGGCCTCAAACGGCACCGAGGAGGTTCAGGTTGGATTTTGGGGGGAATTGCCGCATGGAAAGGGGCTCAGGCACGGCATGGGCTGCCCAGTGAGATGCCATCCCTGGGATTGTCCCCAAAGATGGATTCAGTGTTCGGAGACAGCGTTTGGGGATGGGCAGTGCTGGGCTCGATGATCTCAGGGGGTTTTTCCAAGCTCCCTGACGATTGCAGGATTTTGTGGGCTCCACCTGCTCGCCCCTCTCCTTCCCCCGGGGCCACCCAGCGCGGTGACACCAGGGACAGAGCCACCACCACCCCCCCGGTGTGTGCAGCCAAACCCCTGGAACACCAGGGAAAGTTCTGGAGGCGGGCTGGGGGCGATCCCTGCGGAAGGCGGGGGGATCACGGCCAGCACTGCCGAGCCGCTGCCGCTCCCGCTGGGCCATCCCGGGGTGCCCCCGCTCCCGGGGCCGCTCCGTCCCGCTCCGCGCTCCCGGAGCCCGGGGCCGCCGTAATGATGCCGGTGATGGAACGCGGGAGCGTGAAGGGAATTCTAATGGATCTGCCAAGTCTAATCAGGATTGGTGCGTGGAAGGGGCTCCTCTGGGGCCCGCCGCTGACAGGACGTTGATGGCTGAGATTTGTTTACTCATTGGCAGCGATCGGGCAGCTCCTGCCAGCTCCTGATTAATCTAATTGGGGCCATTAGAGGCGCGGGGGGGGCTTTGACTGAAGCCCGGCTAATGAGCAGTGTCACCGGCCTGTCCCAGCCCTGTCCCTCACCCCGGGCCGGCCGCAGGACCTGCTGTCCCCTCGGGGCTGGGGCTGCTCTCCCTTCCCAGAGGGAAGCGAGGGGAGAGGTTTCCGTGGGATGGAGGCAGGCAGGGCTCACGGCCGTGAGTCGGCAGTGGCGAGGCAGGTGCGAGCCCAGCCCTGGGCAGCCTGCACCGAAATCTTTGAAATCACATCTAGCAGCATCACCCAGAGTGGCAGCCTGCAAGGTTTATCCCAAACCTCCAGGCAGCTCCCTCAGAACCCTCTTTCTCCATGGCAGAATTCCTGATTTTTTCAGGTGTTCGTGGAGAAAGTCGAGGGCCTCCCCTCGGCTCTGCTGAGCCCCACAGCAGCTCCTGGCAGTTCCAGCCTGGCTCTGAGCCCTTCCCAGAGGAGCAGGAGGTCCCTGGTGTGTGTGACAGCCCTGGGCTGTTCCTGCTGCCCTGCAGGACCTGTCCTGCTCCTGGCAGCCCCATCCTGGCTCTGAGTTTCCCAGGAGAGCAGGAGGTCCCTGGTGTGTGTGACAGTCCCATCCTGGCTCTGAGCCCTTCCCAGAGGAGCAGGAGGTCCCTGGTGCTGCCCTGCAGGGCTGAAAGCCTGGTGGCTGAGTGTCCCCTGTCCTCACTGTCCCTTTCCCCCGCAGCTGCCGTGGATTACCTGGCCAAGAACGTCAGCCTGTCCACGCAGCGCCGCATGAAGCTGGGCGAGCACTCGGCCGTGCTGGGGCTGCTGCCGGTGGAGACGGGCCAGGCCTACTGAGAGCCCCTCGCCAGGGACCCCTGGAGACCCCCGCCGGCCCCCAGGGATCCTCCCTGCCCCGTTCCACCCCCGCTGCCGAGGCGATGGGAGACGGGGGAGCTCTCCCAGGATCCGGCTCCTCCAGAGCATTCCAGAGGCACGTCCGGCCTCTGGGGCCCGACTCCTCCTGTGGCCAGAGACACCGGGCTGGGTGCATTTATCAACCCCGCTCCAGCCCCCCCTCCAAAGCCCTGGCCACGGCATTCCCCACACTCCAGGACTTTCCATTCCTAGGTAGCTGGCATAGTCAAAGCCAAATGAGAGCTTTGATTTTTTTTTTTCTTTGTAAAGGGAGAAAAAGAGAAATGTTTCATTTTGTTTCCTTTTCTTTCCGTTGCTGTAAATTTGGTGAATGTTGTATAGGAAGGAATAACCCAGCTGAGCATTAAGGGTGATGTAAATCGGGACCACGGAAGACCTATGGACCAAAAATAAGGACTTGTTTAAAAAACAAACAAACAAACAAACTGCAAAGGCAAATGAAAGCAGAAAAACATTTATTCAAGGGACAGCAAATTTCCCCAGCCCAGCCCACCCTCCCTTCTCACCGGTGGCTTCCCAAAGCAGGGCCGGAGGGGCCAGATCGCTGCTAAGCAGGGCTGGGGTGGAATTCCAGCCAGCCTGGGACCTTTGGAAACGTGAACGGCTGCAGGAGGAGCGGAGAGGAAGGGCCCGGGTGACACTCACTGCTCCTCCGAGGGACAATCCAGACACGAGTGTCACCGCCAGGCCACGGCAGCAGAGCGGCGGCAGCGGGGACAGCGCTGGCCTGGCGTGAGGAGGGGCTGTGGACACACCTCACCGGTGGCTTCCACTGCTGGCCCTGCTGGCCCTGCTGGCCCTGAGCTGGCCGCAGGAGCAAAGACAAGAGGGCAGGGCCAGGAACTCACTGAGCAGAGCCGGGTTCTGCCATGGGAGTCCCCTGGAAGGGAACGGAGCTGAGCCTGGAGGAGCTGCCCTGGCCAGGACGTGGAGCCAGGACAGAGGAACTGAGGGGCTTCTGCAGCAGCCAGGACAGGAAGGGGCTCCAGCTGCCCCTCTGCACACTGCAGGGATGGGATTCATCTTCCTGAGGCATTCCCTGTTCTCACTGCCAGGAGAAAGCATCCATCCATCCCCCATCCATCCATCCCCATCCCAGCCCAGTCCCACAGTCCCTTTCTCTGCTGCTGGAGCCTCTCTCTCATTCCCCCCTAAGCCAGATCCTGTTCTCTGAGTTTCTCCCCCCACTTTTCTCCTCCTGCCTTTGTGTCACCTCCTGTCCTGCTTGGACAAGCCCAGCCAGCACCCCCAGGTCACCGCTGAGCGTCACCTCCCGGGGTGACACATTTCCCTTTTGGTTGATCCTTGGTGATCCCTGAGCATTCCCAGTGGGGCAGAGGTCACCCCTCACCTCCCTGTGCGGGGTCAGGAGGTTTGGCCTGGTTTGGTCAGGACAGCTGGCCCGGGATGGGGCAGGAGCTGAGGTGTGAGAGGCGTGGTGGCCACGGGCAGAGTTCAGTGTCCCCCACAGGCAGAGTTTGGTGTCCCCACAGGCAGAGTTCAGTGTCCCCCCTGAGCAGAGTTCAGTGTCCCCCATGGGCAGAGTTTGGTGTCCCCACAGGCAGAGTTCAGTGTCCCCCCTGAGCAGAGTTCAGTGTCCCCCATGGGCAGAGTTTGGTGTCCCCACAGGCAGAGTTCAGTGTCCCCCCTGAGCAGAGTTCAGTGTCCCCCCTGAGCAGAGTTTGGTGTCCCCTGCGGGTTGTCGGGGTTTGTGGTGCCCTGAACCCCTCCAGATCTCTGCTTTCACAGCAATTCTCTGCCTCTGTGCACTGCGGGACCCCGTGGCTGCTCCAGGCTGCTGAAGGAGACTTCCCTGGTTCTCCCCTCTCCCGCCCTTCCCGAACCAGCTGGAATGTTCTGGCAGCTGGAACATCTCCCTGGGCTCTTCCCCTGCCTGGCCCCTCCCCGTTCATCACGAGCCACCAGGCCACTGTCCCTGCAGCCATCGGGACCAGTCACCTGTCCTGGATTCCCAGTGTCCCTGCAGAGCCACACGTGCTCCTGTCAGCTTTGCTTCCCGCCTCCGGCAGAGCTGGCTCCACATTCCCAGAGGGATTCCCTGCACCTCTCTCATGCGGGAGCTGAACCCAGCAGCTCTGTGCTCCAGAAATCCTCGTGTCACACACGGAGCCCAAACATTCCCTGGATCACAGAGTCTGGGAGCAATTCCATTCCCACCTCCTCTCCTGGGGCACCTGCGGCCAGCGAGGCCGAAGGGACACAGAGGGGACACAATTCCCAGAGGGGACAGCGGAGTCCCAGCGCCCTGGACTGCTCGGGTGACCCTGGGGCCTCTCCCTGCTCTGCTCCAGAGATCTCAGGGAGCAGCGGAGCCTCTGCTGGTTCGTGCTTGTGCTTCAGAGCGTTGGAAGAGCAGAAAACCCGGCAGAATTCCAGTCCTGGCTGAAAGGTCATTCCCAGCAGGAGCCCCAAAGGGATCGGGGTGTCTCCAGGCAGCGATGGAAGCACCTGCTGGAATTCCTCTCAGCACCACTCACAGCCAGCGCTAAATCAGATTTCCTTATATTTAACAATATTTCCGACCATCCCCACCTGGGAGCACCTTCCTGCCTGCGCCCTCCTCTGTGCTGCTGGAATTCCATCCCATGCCAATCCCAGTTCCATCCCATGTTGATTCTTCCTCCTTGCCACTGGAATTCCATCCCGTGCCAATCCCTCCTCTGTGCCGCTGGAATTCCCAGCCCAGCCGCAGGGAAAGGCTCCATCATTCCCTGGGATCGCTTGGCTGCTGCTCCTGCCCTTCCCTCCTCTGTCACCTCCCCTCCTCACCCATGGACAGCTGGGCCTGGCCGCCTCACCCGAGGGCAGGACCCCAAAAAAACCCCAAAATTCAAAAGAGGGAGCACTGCAGAAACCTCTCTGCCAATCCCCTTCCCCAGAAAGTCCGTGGGCAGCCGGGCACTGCTGTAAATAGAATTCCTAGAGGAACGAAATAGCTCTTCTCTGACCTTCCCCTCGTGGTCGCACTTTGTACATTTAGTTGGGAAATTTGGTCATGTGCTGTATGTTTATAGAAAGTTGACCTTTTTTTTTATATACTAAGGAAAAAAAAAACCCACAGTCAGTGCCGTGCTAGTTAAAAAAACAAAAAAAAAACCAAAAAAAAAGGAAAAAAAGAGAAAAATATTTTAAAAAATTAAAATAAGGAAAAAAAGGGGATGGGGGGATGAACTGTAGAAATTTGCCTATTGTGTGTTTTCAAAAGACATTCCAGAATCTTTGGGGTGGGATGGGGTTGATTTTGGGCTTGGGTTGGGTTTTTTTGCTCTTCTTTTTTGTTTTGTTTCTTCCTTTTCTTCATGTATGAAAGTCAAAAGTAACTTTTGGTTTTGTTCTGTTGGTTCAGTTTTGTTTCATGGATTGCCAACCTCAGCTCCGCTGATGAGAGACAAATTTGGGGGGGTGGGTGGGACAGGGAGGGGACACGGCGGGGGAGGGCCTGGAGCTGGGACAGGACAGAGCGTGAACAGTGGGACAGCGGGAACCTGGCTGTGGCCACCTGGGCCACCAGCGGGGACTGAGACTGGAGAGCTGGACAGAGCTGGACAGCAGGAACCCGGCTGTGGCCACTTGCAGCCACCTGTGGCCACCAACAGGGACCAAGCCTGGAGAGCTGGACAGAGCTGGACAGAGCTGGACAGCAGGAACCTGGCTGTGGCCACCTGGGGCCATCCAGCAGTGACCAAGTGGATCCTCAGCTGCTGCTGACTCTGGGGGACCAAAAATCACCCAAAAACCTGAGCAACAGTGACCAAGGGACATGGCCAGAGGTGGCCACATTCCAGAGGTGGACACATTCCAGAGGTGGCCACATTCCAGAGGTGGCCACATTCCAGAGGTGGCCACGTCAAGGATAGACACAGCTGAGATGGCCACAGCAGAGATGGATACAGCCAGAGTTGGACACATTCCGGAGTTGGACACATTCCAGAGGTGGACACATTCCAGAGATGGACGCTTCAAGGATGGCCACAGCAGAGATGGGCACACCCAAGAATGCTCTCTCAGCTCCACTGCTCCCCCAGGCCTGCCAGTGACCCCTGCCCCGCTGGGGGACAGAGTGACCCCAAGGGGCTCCTTTGCCCCCCAGCCCCAGCACGGCCGGACTGGGCCCGGCCACCGCAGCAGATCCTTCGGGTCCTTTGTGTATTTAACGCTTCTAACCCGCCCTCCCCGGCGCCCCGCGGGTCCCCCTAGGCTGTAGGGCATCCCCCGTCCCCGTTCCCGCGGGATCGTCGCTTCTGTGTTCGCCTCATCGCCATCTGCTCCGGGCCGTGGGCGTGTGCGCGCCGGGCGTGTAAATACGGAACCGCACCATAATTTATTCAGCTATATGGAGTAGATTTAGTAGGAAGAGAAACTGGTTTTGCTTTAACTACCTGCTGCCTGTAGGTGTCTTTCTGTAACTCAGGCATAACTGTTATACATTAAAAAAAAAAAAGAAAAAAAAAGAAAAAAATCGATTCCAAGCGCCTTTGGGTTGGGGGAGAGCCTCGGGGATATCCAGCACACAAAGCAGGTGAATTCCAGCTGTTTTCCCTCAAAAGCCGGGCAAAACCCGGCTCTGGTTCGTGGCAAGGTGGAGAAGGCGGGCAAATAAATAAAACCCTGAATTTTGCCGCAGCTCCACGTGGGGTGGGTTCCCTGCTGCCACAGCCCAACCGAGCCTTCCTCCCTCGGTTCCGAGCAGCCCGGGCTGGGCCCCCGGCTCCGCGGGCACCTGGCTCGCGTTAAACACCGCGGCCAAGCAGAAAAATATTCCCAAAGTACGAGGGGTGCAGGGCTGGGAATAAACCTTGGGAACAAAGCCCTGGGTTCAGGAGCGCGCCCGGAGAGGTTCTGGATCCCGGGAACAGGAGCTGATCTCCAGCCGAGCCCCGTGTGCAGAGAGGAGATGAGCGGCCCAGGGAGGTTTGGGGCTGTCCCTCCTCAGAGGGGTCACCCCGGGAGATGCCCGGCCCCACAAATCCAGGTGGGGTCACCTTGGGATGGGAAACATCAAATGTGGAGTGGGAAACAGCAAGAGTGGGGTGGCAGACATCAAATGAGGGGTGGGAAACAGCAAGAGTGGGATTGGAAACACCAAGTGTGGGGTGGGAAACACCAACTGTGGGATGGGAAACATCAAATGT